GGCAGAGGAGCGTCGGACAGACTGCCAGGCCTCAGGGGGAAGGCAGAGGAGGGCGGGCAGAAGGAGATCAGCCCAAGACGTGTGTGCATGCGTGTAAGCCTCACCACTGGACACGGACACCAGGGGGGAGGGCGAGAGTGGGGCGGGGGTTGGGTGCGGGGTTAGTGTAGGGATGAAGACACATATGTAATATCTTAATCAATGAAGAAATTAAAAAAAATAAAAGCATTAAAAGAAAAATAAAACAACAAAACAAAAACACGGGGACAAACATCCATACACAAGCCTAAGCATCCATGACATTAAAATACAGAAATTCCAAAGACACCGAAATGCTTGCATTGGGGGGAAGGTCAGTGGCCTTACAGTTCCCAACATGCTTGTGTTCCAGAGGAAATGGGAAAAGCGTGCATGTCTCCAGGCCAGCGTGGCTCAGGGGTGAGCGTCGACCTACGAACCACGAGGTCAGGGTTCGACTCCCGGTCAGGGCACAGGCCTGGGTTGCAGGATCGATCCCCAGTGGGGGGCGTGCAGGACGCAGCCAATCGATGACTATCTCTCATCATGGATGTTTCTTTCTCTCTCTCCCTCTCCTTTCCTCTCTGAGATCAATAAAAACATATTTTTAAAAAGTCTTCATGTTTATCAGTGAACAAGCAGCGCCGCTGTGTGTCTCGGCAGCACTATCCGCCGGAACTCAGATGCCGGACGGACCTGGACCCTCATGTCCCAGCGTCCAGCGTCCACTTTGCTCTCGAAACGTGGCGAAGGTGACCAAGGGGCTGAATGCCGCCTGAACCTAATCCGTGCGATTGAACTGGGCACATGTGGTCCCTGGCTCAGCTCCTGGGGCCGGGCAGAGGGCACCCTGTCAGTGAGCGACGGAATAGCCCTGCCTGTGTCCCCCAGGGCCGTGGTCAGCAAACTGCGGCTCTCAAGCCACAGGCCCCTGGAGTGTGGCTCTTCCACAAAACACCACGGCCTGGGTGAGTCTGTGTTGGAGAAGTGGCGCTGGAAGAAGTTTAAGTTTAAAAAATGTGGCTCTCCTAAGAAATGTCAGTCGTTGTGCTGTTGGTATTTGGCTCTGTGGACGGAGGAGTTTGCCGACCACGGCCTTAGGCCAAAGCAGCTAGGATTCTGCAGGCCGTCTCCAGAGCAGGCGGTGTGGTGAGGGTCCGGGAGGGAATGGATTGATGGACCAGCGCCGTGTTATGTGTTCTCGGCGACGCAGACAGACAATAGGCTCAGTCAGGCTCGGGCGGGCCTTGGCCAGGGATGGGCCGCCGAGGACATGACTCCCCCCACAGCTGCCTTTGCATCGGGAAGGTCTCACCTCAGACCACCTTTGCTCACTCCCCGGCTCTGGGTCTGCGAGGAGGCCTCGCAGGCCGCCCTGAGCCTCAGCCAGCACGGGGCCCTCCGTCCACGGCTCTGCCTCCAGCCACCGCCCGGCCGCCCTGTTAGCACCTTCCTTTTAAAAACAACAACATGTTTCTATTGATTTCAGGGGGGAAGGGAGAGGGAGAGAGAGAGAAACATCAATGACGAGAGAGAATCATGGACCAGCTGCCTCCTGCACACCCCCTTACCAGGGATCGAGCCTGCAACTCGGGCCTGTGCCCGTGACCGGGATCGAACCCATGACCCTTCAGTTTGCAGGCTGACACTCTATCCACTGAGCCACACCGGCCAGGGCTACAAGTCGTTTTGAAGACAGTAAACAAATGATATAAAAGCGAATATGTGAACACGGCACGAGATCTTACTTTAAATCTGCTGCATGTCTCCCTTCGTGGCATCAGAGCAGGTGGACGGGGAACAGCTGGGAGGACAGGAGAGACAGACACTCGGCAGAGTGCGTCCCCCGGCCCGTCTGCACAGCACCAGGCGCACCTGGCCTCCTCCAGGGAGCGCGTTCCTCGCGTGCGGATTCAAAGTGTTGGGACTGTCACAGGTCACAGGCCACAGGTCACAGGTCACAGGTCACAGGCCACAGGTCACAGGAGCAGCCAGAGCTGCAGCCGAGAGTCACACGGGAGATGGGCGGGGGCAGGGGCCGCCCGGAGCAGCTGTGTGTTGTGTGCAAACCTACGTCAGCCCGGCCGCACCTGCAGGTCACTCGGCAGGAAGCGGCCGGCAGCACGGCTGGCGAGCAGGCCGGGCAGGAAAAGCCGGATCCACAGCTGGGAGGTGATAAGCTCAGGCGCCTCAGCCCTGACCCGCCACCCAGAGCCCCAGGGCGAGGGGGTCCCCAGGCCACAGTGGGGCATTGGGCAGCTGGGGGCAGCCCGCAGGTCTCCTGGCAGCCCCTGTGGAGAGAGGGGCCCCTGAGGGAGCAGAGAGGTCCCGGAGCAGCCACCGGGACATGTGCAGAGTGACTTACAGTGAGAAGGTGCTGAGGCCTGGCCGGTGTGGCTCAGCGGTGAGCATCGATCTATGACACAGGAGGAGAGGGTTCGATTCCCAGTCAGGGCACAGGCCCGGGTTGTGGGCTCCATCCACAGTGTGGGGCGTGCAGGAGGCAGCCGGTCCACGATTCTCTCTCATCATCGCCGTTTCTCTCTCCCTCTCCCCACCTCTCCGAAATCCTAAAAACACATTTAGAAGCAGCAGCTCTGGTGTGAAAGCCGCTGGGAGTGCCGTCAGCTCAGCGCAGGCTCCTCCCGCTTTAATGGGCTGTAAAGTCACCACGTCATACGTGTGCCGCTGGAACGCGCAGGGAGGCACCTTCAAAACTCCTCAGAGCCACCCTGCTTCCGTGAGGTGTTCACGTGCAATTTCCCAACGCCTCCCGCCGAGGTTAGACCCTTCGTCTCAATAAACTGATGAACAAAAACAGACGCAGAGACAGAAGCATCAATCAGACCATCAAGCCTCAGAGGGAAGGTAGGGGAGGGTGGGAGTAACGGGGAGAGATCAACCAGAACATTTGTACACATGCATATAAACCTAACCAATGGACACAGACACCAGTGGGGGTGAGGGCATGAGAGGGAGAAAAAGGACACATATGTAATACCTTAATCAATAAAGAAAAAAAGAACAGGAAAAAAACACAAAAAAAAAACAGAAGCTGCGCCGAAACCGGTTTGGCTCAATGGATAGAGCATCGGCTTGGGGACTGAAGGGTCCCGGGTTCGATTCCGGTCGGGGGCATGTACCTTGGTTGCGGGCACATCTCCGGTAGGGGGTGTGCAAGAGGCAGCTAATAGATGACTCTCTCTGGTCGATGTTTCTGACTCGCTATCTCTCTCCCTTCCTCTCTGTACAAAATCAATAAAATATATTAAAACAAACAAACAAAACAAAAACAAAAAAACAGAAGCTGGAACTGCCTTACGACCAGGCAGCCCCAGTTCTGGGTGCGAGGCTGGGGAGCTCTGACCCCCTGATTCCAAAGGATACCTGCACCCCGCTGTCCATCGCAGCGCTGTGGACAGCAGAAAAGACGGGGGGCCGCCCACGTGCCCATCGATAAACACGCCAACAGGAAGGCTGGCTGCGCGTACACGTGTGCGAATGGAGTGCTACTCGGCTGTAAAACCGGAATCTTACTGTCGGTGCCAGCACGGAGGGCCCAGAGAGCATGATGCCGAGTGAAATGAGCCGTCGGAGAAGGACAAGGACCGTGTGACCCCACTAAAGAGCAAAATAAAGGAACGAGCAGAACTGAACCAGACTCACAGACAGAGAACAGCCTGGCGGGGCCGGACGGAGGGGGCTGGGGGCCGGGGGCCAGGGGAGGGATGGAGAAGCACAGGTTGGCGGCTACAATACAGTCATGGGATGTACAGTCCAGCACAGGGACTATCATCCTGTCTAATAAAAGCCTCGTATGCAAATCGAACAGCGGAACCACCTGTGGAATGACGGGTCTCTATGACACGCACTGACCACCAGGGGGCAGGTGCTCAGCACAGGAGCTGCCTCCAGCCCACAGGCCCCAGGCCAGCCAAGGCGGGTGCCAGTGGAGGGGCCCCGATGGCCCCACAGATGGGCCCCGATCGCCAGCCAGGCCTAGGGGCCCTATCCCTGCACGAACTCCGTTCACCAGCCTGTGTGGTGTCGAGGGGTACGGGCAGTATCGGGGGGTCACTCTGTAAAGTCTACAAGGTCCATTCACTGTGCTGTGCATGCAAAATGAATACAGGAGATACGGGATGTGAACTGTAATTGCCAATAATAATAATAATAATAATAATAATAATAATAATAATAAAATATTAAAAATGAATCCACAGCCCTAACCAGTGTGGCTCAGTGGATAGAGCATCAGCCTGTGGACTTCAGGGTGCCAGGTTCGATTCCGGCCAAGGGCATGTACCTTGATTGCAAGCACATCTCCAGTGGGGGGTGTGTAGGAGGCAGCTGATCGATGTTTCTCTCTCATCGGTGTTTCTAACTCTCTATCCCTCTCTCTTCCTCTCTGTAAAAAAATCGATAAAATATATTTAAAATAAATAAATGAATAAATGAATAAATCCACACGCACAGAGAGGCGGGGGCACTGGGCTTTAAGGAAACGCAGAGCCAGACGTGTTGGGCCCGTGCAGCGCCGCTCCGCGCCCGGCCGTGTGGGCGTGTGCTGCCAGCTGCCCGGACGGGGGACGGGGGACGGGGGACGGGGGACGGAGCCGCCATCGGGGGTGAGCGCCTTCTGCTCTGGGTTTGGTGCCCACACGGAGCGCGCGAACGCCCCCCGGAGCCCAGGTATTTTTAGAGCCGGGAGCGCACTGTGACCGCCCGGCCCATCGCCGCACCCGGCCCAGAGGGAGGAACAAAGCTCCGGAGCCGCGGGGGCAATTACGGCAATTACCCCGCAAGATGAAGGCGGGACGTGTGCGCCGAGTCGCCGCTTTGAAACCCGCGCCCTCATTACCACCGCTCCCCAGGCCGGCTTTGAAGGTGGCATCTGCGCGGGCCTAATGGGCATCTGGGGAGGAAGGGGCCTGGCCCCGGCCGAGGTATAAAAGCTCCAGCCCAGGAGCCAGCGCCACAGCCACAGGTCCTCCCTCACCTCCGCTGATCCAGACCCAGACCCGGAACCGAACCGAACCACCAGCATGCCCTACAGCCGCAGCTCCGGGACCCTCTCCTCCCGCTCCCTGGGCGGCTGCCTGCGGTACCCGGCCTCCTCCTGCGGCTCCTTCTACCCCGGCAACGGCTACCCCGGCAACGGCTACCCCGGCAACGGCTACCCCGGCAACGGCTACCCCGGCAGCGTGGCCTACACCCAGGGCCCCTGCCAGCAGGGCTCCCCCGCCTACGGCTGCCAGGAGACCTGCTGGGAGCCCGCCGCCTTCCAGGCGCCCGGCTACGGCCGCCGGTCCTCCTCGCTCTGCCGGCCGCCCCAGGCCTCCTGCCCCGGCTCCTCCGGCTGCAGCGGCGCCGGCTTCGGGCCCTGCGGTTACGGGGGCTCCCGGCCCCAGGCGCTGGGCTGCGGGTCCGGCTACTGCCGCCCCACCTACTTCTCCTCGTCCAGGCCCTATCAGGGCCCCTCCTTCCAGCCAGCCTGCGGCTCCGGCTGCTACGGACAGACGTACTGACGGCCCGTCCGCGGACGCCTGACCCCTGAGCGGAGCAGCCTCCTGGGACGTCGGGCCTCGGCCTCGGCTGGACCAGGCCCACCGCAGCCTCCGGACCCGGGACCTCGCTTCCCGGGGCCCAGCCGTCCGGACCTCTCAGCCGGCCTGGGAGGGAGCCGCCTGGGCTCTCCCAGAGGCTCAGCCCCTCCCGGGCTCTCCCCTCCCCTCCCGGCTCTGTCCCGGCGCCGTGTCCCGTGTGGATGCGGCTGAAATAAAGGGTGTCTTTGGGTGAGCCACTGGTGCCCTGTGTTTGTCCATGCACCGCGTGTTTGTCCATGTGCCGTGTGTTTGTCCATGTGCTGTGTGTTTGTCCATGCACCGCGTGTTTGTCCATGTGCTGTGTGTTTGTCCATGCACCGCGTGTTTGTCCATGTGCTGTGTGTTTATCCATGTGCTGTGTGTTTGTCCATGTGCTGTGTGTTTGTCCATGCACCGCGTGTTTGTCCATGTGCTGTGTGTTTATCCATGTGCTGTGTGTTTGTCCATGCACCGTGTGTTTGTCCATGCACTGCGTGTTTGTCCATGTGCTGTGTGTTTGTCCATGCACCGCGTGTTTGTCCATGTGCTGCGTGTTTGTCCATGTGCTGTGTGTTTGTCCATGTGCTGTGTGTTTGTCCATGTGCTGTGTGTTTGTACATGGGCTGTGTGTTTGTGTGTGTGCTGTGTGTTTGTCCATGTGCTGTGTGTTTGTCCATGCGCTGTGTGTTTGTACATGGGCTGTGTGTTTGTGTGTGTGCTGTGTGTTTGTCCATGTGCTGTGTGTTTGTCCATGCGCTGTGTTTGTCCATGCGCTGTGTGTTTGTCCATGCGCCGTGTGTTTGTCCATGCGCCGTGTGTTTGTCCATGTGCTGTGTGTTTGTCCATGTGCTGTGTGTTTGTCCATGCGCCGTGTGTTTGTCCATGTGCTGTGTGTTTGTCCATGTGCTGTGTGTTTGTCCATGTGCTGTGTGTTTGTACGTGCGCTGTGTGTAGCGAGTGGACGCTGTGCCTCCACTGCGGCCGGGAAAGCGTGTTTGTGGCCGTGTTCCTCGTGTGGCCGGTGTTTGGTGGTTGGAAGCGGCGGGGGGTGGGGTAAATGGATGCGAGTCTACGTCCTGAGAGGCCACGGAGACCACGTCCCCCCGGGCGCCTGGTCCTCGTGGCCTCGGGAATGTTGCTGGGCTTCCCGGGAGCAATGGCAGCACTCTGACTGCGGGGCCGGCCGAGGGTCCCTCTCCCTCTGGCCACGGCTCTCGCTCTGGGCAACAAGGGCGGTGATGGCAGGACAGCGTTTCGGGGAGCGCCAGCCCCCGGCTCCGAGCAGCGTGGCGAGCAGTGAAGTCACTGTGGGCGTAGAAATCTCTGGTCTCCACGTCACAGGAAACGGCCATGCTGCGGGTCTAGTGCCAGTGAGGCCTCGAGGAGGAGCCGGAAAGTGGGACTGGACAGGAAGGACGTGGGTTTGAGCTTGGAGGAGGGGAGGAGAGGGGAGGGGGGGGAAGGGAAGGGAGGAGAGAAGGGAGGGGAAGGGGGAGGGGAGGGGGGAGGGGAGTGGAGGGGAAGGGAGAGGACATTGCTCACTGTGGACTGGGAGCAGCTGAGGATGAGGTGGACGGGCTGCCGCCCCCCGGGGGGCGGGGGCTGTCATCAATAAGGCGGCCAACAGGTGTGAGGACGCACCTTCCACTCCAGCGGAGACAGCGCCCTCTGCTGCCCACGTCTGCTGAGCATCCTTCACGGCGAGGAGGACACAGCAGCCGCATGTCCAGGGGGACCGAGCGGGCAGGGGCGCACCCACCACGGGGAAAGTCGGCCGTTACGGAAAGGAATCTCGCCTGGCCGGTGGTGCAGCCTTCTCTCCCTCGGATGGAGACAGCCTGCGAAGGCGGGAGGAGGCAGGAGGGATTCCTCTCTGTCTCAGGAAGGGCGTGTTCGCTCGAAAAGGGAGCGGAAGGAAAGGGGATCGTGGGTAACTGGGAAACTGGGATTGACCAGCGTGTGTGGCATGTGATGAGGGGCCAGCCCTCAGGGGGAACGAAGGGAAACCAGGGGCCTCTCCATAAATCCCCTGAGGGCTGGCTCCTCATCACACGCCACACACTGCCCCTTTAAATGGCGAGATGTGTTTGTTTTTTTTTAAATATGTTTTACTGATTTCAGAGAGGAAGAGAGAGAGAAACATCAGTGATGAGATGGATCGCTGCCTCCTGCTCGCCCCCCGCTGGGGATCGAGCCCGCACCCGGGCCTGTGCCCTGACAGGAATCGAACCCGGGACCCTTCAGTCCTGCGGCCGATGTTCTGGTCACTGAGCCACACCGGCCAGGGCTCAGGGTGAGCTTCTTGCAGCTTTATTGAGATGAGCCTGACAATAAGCATCGCGTGTGTGTGAGGTGCCCGTGTGACAGTTTAATGTGCATCTGTGACGTGAAATGGTCCCCACACTCCGCTCACAAACACGTCCTTCCTCCCTCTCTCTGGCCGCACCCAGGCCAGGTTCCCTGCTCACGCCTCCTCGTTCAGCGTGACCGTGAGGCCGTGCCAGACGCAGACAGATGCCTCATAACACACGGCTGGGCCTCTGCCGGCGTCTGCCCGCCGCAGCCCCAGGCCCGGCCCCGGCCCCTCCTCCGTCCCCGGGTTTGAGGACTGAGGTGTCCCAGTGGGATGATGTTATGAGGTATCTGTCTGTCTGTGTCTGGCTCGTTTCTCTTGGCACAATGTGCTCCCGGTCCATCCGTATTGTAGGAAATTCTCCCGTCTGAAGTGGGAGAGTCTCTATTTAATTCACATAAACTCATCCAGGCAATGGGAGCCGGGCCACCAGGCAGCTACGCTCGTCATGGCTGTATGCTCACTGTTATTTTTAGCAACAAGCAGCGATTCGCAGAAGGAAAGAAAACGGCTCGAAATAAAAGCTGTTGATCCCAGTTATTGTGAGCCGTGAATTTGAGTCCCTCCCCCCCAGGACTTCTTCAGCGAGCACAGGAGAACAGCATTTCCATGGCTCAGTGCTGCAGACAAAGCTGGAGACACACACGGAGCGGCCAGATGATGATGATCTCTGAACGCATAGTAACCTGGGCACTCAGTGTGTGTGTGTGCACACACATATATATATTAGAGGCCAATGCATGAATTCGTGCATGGATGGGGTCCGGCCAGCCTGGCCAGGGAGAGGGGACGTGGGCGGTTGGCCGGCCTGCCTGCTGGTCAAACTCTGGCCGAGGGGACAATTTGCATATTAGCCTTTTATTATATAAGATAGACACAGAGTGGCCAGATTGTTATGTGTTCAGAGATCATCGTCATCTGGCCACTCTATGTGTAATTGGCTTGAAATTGTAGCCTTTTCCTCACTGATTCCATAGGCGACCTGTCAGGTAATCAAGCAACTAACAGCGACAGGTAATCCACATTTAAGAAATGATTCAAAATAAAACAAAAAATTATAAAAGCCTATACATCCTGTAACAGTTTGCAGTCGTAGTAAGAATTCTCAGCCATTTCTCTTCATCGGAAAAGACTTGTTTAAGGTACTGGGCTTTATTTTCTAAAGAAACTGTGCTTGGTCGTGATGTCAACAGCAGGCGTGTGGGTTGTAAGTTCACCGGGTCACACCCTCATTTCACAGAGGCGGGCGGCAAGGTGCGGGAGCTGTGAGGGTGGGGCACGTGTGGGCGTGACGTGGCAGTGGCAGACGATGTTTGCCGTATGCTACTCTCTGCAGTAAAAGCTGAAAAAACATGCTCTCCACAAAGTCCTGACTGAAGACCCTTCGCCGTAGACCGTCTCTGGGTGTTTCTCTAAGGAGCTAAGAGACAGGTTTCTGCCAAGAGTGACAAGGTCATTTCAGCAGCTGTGTCACTGAAATCGGGTTTGAAACACAACTGTGTCTGCCCCAGCGTTATAACCAGTGTCTGTGGGAACAACATGTGTTATTACTAGAAATAAGACAGACTTGCTCACTTAGAAGGTCCAATCAACGCAAAAGTGGCACAGTGCTCAGCCCTGGCTGGTGTGGCTCAGTGGATAGAGAGTCAGCCTGCAGACTGAACAGTCCTGCATTTGATTCCGGTCAAGGGCACATGCCTGGGTTGTGAGCTCGATCCCCAATGGGGGGCTTGCAGGAGGCACCCTATCCATGATTCTCTCTCATCACTGATGTTTCTCTCTTTCTCCCTCCCTCTCCCTTCTTCTCTGAAATCCATAAACATAAAAAACAACCACCACAACAAAAATCGTACAGCTAACTGCCTCTATGAACTCTAATAATATGTGTATTCGTTTGTATTTAAAAAAGAGCATTGTAGCAGAGGACTCAGAATCATTGCTTTTTGCAACCATCGTAGATTCAGTGTGAAAAGACAGAGGAAAGTGCCTCCCACAGCCACGGTGAAAGATATAAACTGAATGTGGGGGTCAAGGTCAAGCCCATGTTTGAAAAGTCACTGCACATGCGTGGCCGGCCGAGGAGCTGCCGTGAAGATGACTTTCCGAACCGGAGAAGCCGTAGTCACGCCGGGCAGGCAGCTCGCACGTGCACCCCGTCATCCTGCGGTTACGTCTTAGGAGGGTAAGGTGACCAGGCGTCCCGCTTCTGGCGGGACAAGTCCCGATTTTTAACAATTTGTCCCGAGTCCCGCGGCGTTTTAAAAAAGTCCCAATTTTCTTTTAAAAAATCGGGACTTTTTAAAACGCCTTGGGACATGGGACAAATTGCTAAAAGCGGGACGTCTGGTCGCCTTATGTTAGGGATGAGGTGAGTCCTCCGTCACACACACAGAGGGTATGGGGCCAGACGCTGCGTCTCTATCCAGCGCATCAGACCATTAGCGGGAAAGAGCACAGCATTGCTCTGTGCCTGACGGCAGGTTTGCTGAGCTGGCCTGCTTTCACTGCTGAGACAGCTCTTCTCCCTCGTCCCGGGTCACTCCTCAGCGTTGGTCACGCGTTTGCTTTCTTTGGTTTTAAATATCGGGACTTCTCCCCCGGAGTGAAAATGTGGGGCCGTTCGGCAGAGTGTCCCCTGAGAGGCCCGTTGGGTCAGGTCCCTGGGACAGCTGCCCA